CGAGCCCACAACCCAGGCATGTGCCCTGACAGGGAATCAAACTGATCTCCTGGTGCATGGGTCACCACTCAACCACTTGAGCCACACCAGCCAGGCCCTAACACCATTTTTTAAAGACTATCCTTTTTACATTGAATTAACTTTCCAAATTTGTCACAGTTGCTATTTTTCATTTTATTTATCATTATCTTATACAAAAATAAACATTATTTGGATACAGTGACCATATATGCATAGACCTAGTCTGGTCTCTCTCTTCTGTTCCATTGATTGCTGAATCTGTGCTTAAGCCAATACCACCCTATCTGTAATCAGTTGCTTAGAGTCTTGAATTCAGATAGTGTAAATAATCTAACTGTTCTTTTCAAAATTGCTTTGGCTATTCTAACTAACTTGCTTTTTCTTATAAATTTTAGAAACAGCCTGCTGAGTTTTGATCGGGATTGTGTTGAATCTATTAATAATTTGGGGAGAACCAACATGTTAACAATATTCCAGCATGTTAATAGTCTTCTGATAAACAAGTGTAGTATATTTTCCACTTAATTAGGTCTTTGATTTCTCTCAGCAGTGTTTTGTAGTTTTCAATGTACTGTTGTCAGATTTATTCCTAAGTATTTCATATTTTTGATGCTATTGTAAATAGTACTGTTTTTTAAATTTCAGTTTCCAGATGTTCATTGCTGGTATATAGAAGACAATTGATTTTTATATATTGACTTTGTATCCTGTGACCTTACTAATAAACTAACTTATTAGTTCTAGCAGCTTTTTTTTTAATTCCTTAGAATTTTTGTGTAAATGATCAAATAATTGGCAAATAAAGACCATTTTACTTTTCCACTCCAATCCATGTGCCTTTTTATTAATGAGTAATATTATGGAGTTATATTTTTAATAGCTGGTTTAAGTTCCTTGTTTGTTAATTTCTTCATCTGTCATTTCTTGGTACTTGTGTTGATTCATTTTTTCCTAGTTGTGAGTCATTTTTCCTTTTTCTTTATGTCTAGTAATTTTGATTGGATGCCAGACATTGGTATTTTTTCCATTGTTGAGTCCTGTATTTTTTAATTATTTTTATTCCTTTAAAGACTGTTGGGCTTTGATGTGACACAGTTAATTTCTGTGAAATCAGTTTGATTCTTTTGAACTTTTGCTTTTAAGCTTTGTCAGGACAGATCCAAAATACCCTTTACCTAGGGCTAACTGATCGCCACTACTAAGGCATGCCTTTCTGGGAACTCTGCCCAGCGCTGCCCCTGTATTAGTCTCTGTGAACTTTGGCCGGTGGGAGCATAAACTCTTCCCACCACTGTGTCTGCTCTACTATTTTCCAGTGGTACTTTCTCCAGCCTTGTGCAGTTTCACCCCACACATGTGCAGATCACTACTCAACCAAAGGCTTGGGTAATGTCTTGGCAATCCCCTCTGCAAGTTCGTGGTGTGCTTTCTGTGCAGCTCCCTTATCCCTGGTACTCTGCCCTGCAAATTCTACCCACTGTGGGCTCCCCAAAATCTCTGTCTTCTCAACTCAGGGAGACTGCTGGATTCATTTTAGGTTCCCCCACCCTGTGATGAAGCCTGGAAACTCTCCAGGCCATTTTCTGAGGCAATGATAATTCTCATTTTTTCCCTCCTTCAGGGATCACAGTCCTATATTATTTATTGTCCAGTGTTTGCAAACAGTTGAGTCATAGGTTTTGTCCAGTTTTCTAGTTTTTTACAGTAGGAAGATGGTTCTCATGGCTGTTTAATCCTTTATGAAAGAAGTAAAAGATTCTCACATAATGTGTTTTAATACCACAGGGACAGTGTTACAGATGTACATGCAATAGTAATCAGTGGAAGCTCGGTTGAAGGGAGAAAAATACTCAGATTGTATGAACTTGAATAGACCTCTCCTCTCTGAATACTAGTAGAAATTGAATGGCATATCTTTTTTCTACATTATATAAAAACTCATTTTCTCCAGAAATATTCATTCTTTTAGAAGTCTTTAAATTTATTTTTCTTTATAGAAGAGGTTGTGAGAGGCAGAACCTCTTTGTAATTCATAGATACAGTAGCAACTTTAGAATAAAGATATGGTAAAAGGGAAAATACTTTAAAGGCAATCATAGGTATACATTATAGTAATGTGTCCTTTAGAGTCTGATACAGTAGCTATCCTCCCAAAAACAGTTATATATCCTTTTTTGGTTTTTTAATGCTCACCCGAGGATATTTTTCCATTGTTTTTCAGAGCGGGGGGAGAGAGAGAGAAAAACATTGATGTGAGAAAGACAGATCGATTGGTTTCCTCCCACTTGAACCCCCACTGGGGCTGGGGATTGAGACTGCAACCAAGGTATGGCTTGCCCTTGGCCAGAATCAAACCCAGAGCCCTTCAGTCTGCAGGCGGACACTCACCACTGAGCCAGATCAGCTAGGGTTATAGACCCTTTTTTTTAATGGGGGAAAAAGTTTTCCTTTTTAAGTTGATGTCTTCCTTTGAAATATTTTTTAAAATACAGTGTTTTTGATAGTCACATGGAAAGCTGATTAGATCTACTAGTGACTAATTTAAAATTTTTAGAAGTCAAGAAAAAGCATAAGATTATACTATTAGTAATCCTCCTCATATTTTTCTTGACGTGTTTTACTTTGCTGTTTTATAACCTTTCCCCATTTACCAGTTGGACTCTTAATGTTTTTAGTTTTTATTTATGTGGGATTCTTTTATATATAAAATAACTACTATTTGTTACAAATGTTTTTCTCACTATGTTGGGTTTTCCTTTTTAGTGAGGTGTGCTATTAAATATCAAGTTTTTCGTTTTTATACAGTCAAATTTTTCTCTTTGTAATTTATTTCTAAGCTTAGAAAGTCTTATTCCCCCAGAAATTAGATAAAAACGTATTGCATTTTCATACCAATTTTGTCTTGTTTTGATTTTTTAGTATGGAATGATATCTGCAGATTATTTCAGTCTATTGAAAAGTCCCTTCCATCTCTCCTTTTCACAGTGAACTTTTTTAAAAGATTTGTCTTTTTCACTCTCTCTCTTTCCTCACATCCAATCTCACTTTTTCTCATCACACCACATAAAATGACTTCCACTCAGATTGCCATGTTGCTAAGCCAAATGACTGTTTAGCCCTTATAAGACCTCACGGCAGGATTCGACACTGCCATTGATCACTGGATTCTTTGTAAAAGAGTTATCCTTCCGTCTCTGTGATCTCCACACTCCTGACTTTTCCCCAACTTCTGACTTCTCATTTGCAGCCTCATCCTTCTCTAGTTTAATTATTGAAGTTCCTCACAACTTAACTTTTTGCTGGCTTTTCTTCTCATTTTATACTCTTACCCTAAGCCCCATTGTTCCCATCCAGACTTCATTTATCATTCAGATAACTGCTTGGCTCCAGACCTAGAACTGCCTACTTGACATCTTAACTTGAATATCTTAAAGAACCTCAAGCTCATATGTAAAATAGAGTTCATAATCTAAATATTCTACACCTCACCTCTACCCTCTAACACTGCAGTAATATTTTTCATTAAAATTTTTTTCACTTACTTAAATCTTTTTTTTAAACTTAAATCTTTTATCACTCTTGTGGATTATACATTTCTTATTAAAGTAATCCTAAGTTTTATGTTATAAGTGGACCCTCTACTTGTTTATTATTGGCTTTGAAACTTTTTTATCTGTATCCAGTTATTAGTTTTCTTCTCCTACTTTATTTAGAATTTTACTCTTAGAAAAGTATGTTTTGTAGCTAAAACTGAAAGATTTTTACAGTTTTTTTACCTCTCTTGATCAGCATCTATACTTTTGATCATAAATCTGGGGGAGGTTCTCTAGATTTTAGTCAAAGAATGTTCTTACAGAGGAGATAGCTTCAGGGCAGTGCTCAACCCTTGAGCATTGAAGACACTGATTAAGTTAACTGGTTTGGAAAATTTTTATAAATAGCATATATATAAAACTTAGAGCTTAAACAGTTCTTTCATATGTCATTTTGTCTTTTATTCATCCCTAAACCTTTTAAAGTAGGTGGTTTTATTATTGATAAACAATTGAGTCTCAGGGACATTAAGGGACTTCTCCATGGTCATTAAAATACTGAGTTCCTGAACTAATGTTATACCCCATTCCTCATTCCTTAGCACTTATGCTGTTTTTTCTTGTATCACATTGCTTTTCATTGTATGTAAAAATCAATCTGAAAGTCCTTAATTGGATTCTGAGTGAGATAAGCTAGAAACATTCCTAGACTATCCCTTCTGAGTATTTCTATTTTTAATATTTATAGTTTTATGTATTATTTAGACAACTATTTTAAATTATTTTCCTTATAGGAACCTCCAGAAGTTTAGCCTTTTTGGAGACATAAGCGTTCTACAGCAGCAAGGAAATTTGTCAAATACATACCTCAGCAAGGTGGACCCTGATGGCAAAAAAATTAAGCAGTAAGTTATATAGTTAGTGGAAAGGGGCTTATTTAATAATAATTTTAGTTATTTTGAGAAATTGTAAGATACGATACAATAAGAAGAGTAATGATTATCTTACTAAAAAGAACATATGTTCTGGAAATGTCTTAACTATGAAATACAGTAATCATTCTATGCCATTCTGTGTTATAAATTTTAAGACAGATCAAAGAATTTTCTGGGTAATTATTACTTTGTGAAACACTTATTTCTCTGCTTGCTTTTGCTATAACATAAATTGTATGTCACCAGTCTTTTCTGCCATACTGGTAAAATGCTGCTTTCCTTGAACAAATCTCTGTATGTTAACATATCTATATGTTTAATACATCTTATTCATTATATTTTAATGTGAATTTTAATGGTATTTATGATACTTGTGAGTTGGATAGAAATTAAGTAATGAGAGAAAATGGACCTCAAAATTGTGTGCCATTTCATTGCCTATTTTCAAAAGACTGTTAAAAGATTAGAGCTAAATGTGAACAGGATCCTTTGACATGTGTTTTTCTTACAGAATTCAGCAGCTATTTGAAGAAATACTGAGTAATAGTAGGCAACTGAAATGGCTGTCCTGTGGGTTTATGCTGGAAATAGTAACCCCAACATCACTGTCATCTCTCTCAAACTCTATTGCCAACACCATGGAGCACCTGAGTTTACTGGACAACAATATTCCTGGTAACAGCACCCTTATCACCGCAGTGGAACTAGAGCGATTTGTGAATCTACGCTCTCTTGCCCTGGATTTCTGCGACTTTACAGCTGAGATGGCAAGAGTCTTAACCGATAGCAACCATGTGCCTTTGCAGCGACTGTCTCTCCTGGTCCACAATGTTTCTGTGATGCACAAGTCTCTGGACAACATGCCAAATGATGAGCATTGGAAAGCTCTGTCACGAAAGAGCCCTAGCCTTCGGGTCTATATAATGGCTTTTGATATCAAGAGTGAAGATATGTTAAAGATTCTGAAACCCAGTATACCACTAGAGAGGATTCATTTTGACAGCTACATCACTTGTGTTTCAGGAGCTATCGTTGATCTTATATCTAGGCAGTATGACAAGTTCCTCACTCATTTCATATTAATGAATGATGTTATTGACACGTCTGGTTTTCCAGATCTTAGTGACAACCGAAACGAAGATCCGTTGGTTTTACTAGCGTGGAGGTGCACAAAACTTGCTCTTCTGGCGATTCATGGTAGGTGATTTTTTATTACTATAATTTGATATTAATATTACATCTAAAACATTCTATGCTAATAAAAAGATAGCACTGGCATTTAGAGTGTTAAGAAATCTTATAACAAATTGATACGCAGATTTTTATACTTTTTAAAGCTTATAAGATATACAACTTACAGGTGGGAAGTCACATTTCTAAGTGTTCTGCTCCAAGCTCCTGTTACTTTTTCTCCCACCATGTGATTGGTGGCATTTCACAAACATGGTATTTGAAATTAAATTATTTAAGAAAACATACATATTTACCGACAGAAATATTTCCTCTAATCACAGATCTCTTAAAGATAACATGGAAGGAAAAGAAAGTGTGATTTCTTTCATGCCCATTGCCTCATCTTCTAGATTCTAGGTATTGCCATATTAATTTATATGAGGGGGTTTTTTTAATGTTTTTATTGATTTCAGAGAGAGGGAGAGAGAGAGAGAAACATCAATAATGAGAGTCATTGATTGGCCGCCTCCTGCACACTCCCTACCAGGGATCGAGCCCACAACCCAGGCATGTGCCCTGTCTGGGAATCAAACCATGACTTCCTGGTTCATAGGTCGATGCTCAACCACTGAGCCACGCCAGCCAGGCCATATGACCTTTTTATTTGAATGGTGGTTCCATTGACGGGGCATATGCTTATTTTATACTGAGGCCTTTCATCTTAATGTAAACTATTCTCATTTGTAGAGAGAGTTTCTATTCTGAAAAATTAGAACATTTTACTTCCTTTTTTTGATACTTATAAGACATTTACAGGATACAAATTAGGAAGTCTCTATGAACATCTTAAACTCCCTTTATTAGCTCTGTTTCTTTTTTTTTAGGCTGCAGCTGTGCCTTGCTTTTCTAGTTTTGTTTTGTAATTTGGTTAGCCAGCAGAGATAGTAACAAAGAATAGACCAATGTTGAAGGTAATAAATAAAATGAGGATTTTGTATAGGATAAAGAAATGTCAGGTTATTCAGAAGTTAATTTAACCCAGTCTTTTTAAAGCTTTTTTCTTCTTTTAAGAAATAAGATGTTAGATATAGCTAAAGCCCCCCATCCATTCCCCTTTTATTCCTTCCCAGAGGTAATTATTACTCTGAAGTTAGTACATATCATTTCCATGGCTGTTTTGTACTTTACTTACTTGCTACTGACTATTAACAATTTATCTTTAAAGCTTAAAGTGTCACTTCATAACTTGGGACTATTAATGATTTTTCACTAATGAAAAATATCAGTTTAATTATGTATTGTTAATGGACACATATATGTGAAATAAAAAATTTGTTCTTTATTATACATAATTATCCAAACTTATTTTAAACATATATGATTTTACAAAATGTGGATATCAGAATAGGATTACAGCACCTTCCATTTAAACCACCCACAGTAATGTTCCTATGTTCTTGGAGACAATTTCAAACTTTTTGTCTTTTTTATTTCCCCTGGCTAAACAATCATACTTCCTTCTCGAATCTCAGTATATTTTTAAAGGAAAAGGACCAAAATGGTCATTTCGATACAAATTTGTGGAAAAGACTAACTTATCACATAGATAGAATAAAATGCAAGGAAATTACAGTGCTTGTGTTCTGCTTATTTTTAAGGTTACACAGTGTGGGCACACAACCTCATTGCCATTGCTCGTCTTCGTGGCTCTAATCTAAAAGTACTTGAAGTCACTGAAGAAAGCATTGATTTTGACCAAGGTGAACTGGCCGACCAGGATGTGGATCCAGTGCATAACCTTATTGAGCAGGTATCCCTGGGCCTGGGTCATCCTTGGCATGCAGTCATGGACATTGAATCACTCAGTGTCTTCACTGAACCAAATCGTCATTTTTACAGAGAGATGCAAAGCTTCAGCGAAGACATTTAACTTTTTTTTAAATGTACAATTCCTGTGGTTACATATGCAAGTAGGGTCCTATTATGTTCTTTTCAGTAGTGTGAATTAATCCCTTTGTGCTGTGTTTAATCAGTATTAGCTTCATAGAATTATATATGTATATTCTACTTCTTGATCAAAGAACGTAGTCGGGTATTGGTTTAGAAGTTCAAAGTGACAATGTATAGGGCTTTCACGGTTAATGGACTTGTTACCAAACCTTAAGGATATACAACCGAAGGCTGTCTGAGGTTGCTGGCTAACTTTGTTTTTCACTGAGTTACTCTGCCTTTTTGATTATTTTATTCTTTGTGTGTCAGAGCAGAACTCAGGAGCCAAAATATTTTTATACATATATAGATATATACCCATAGCCTGGTGGATTTGTATGCAATATTCTGCATTCACTCATTCTAATAGCATTTCATTAATTTTTATTTGAAATGGAAGGGAGGATATTGTCCCAAATGAGTTATCTTTAACAAAAAAGCCAAGATTTTAACTTTCATTACATATATAAGATTATCACCAATTACCATTCTGAATTTTGTATAGTACTAGGTTAGAACCTTGCTTAACCCTTTTCTTAAGTGCATTTACAGAACCAAATACTCAAATTGTTGGATTTATAGAAATTATATCTGACATGATTTTATTTATCAATTATATTACACATTCAAGTTAGCTTTTAAGCCCAGATTTCAAGTAGTGGAGGAAGAAAGAAACTGTATTTCAGGGTAAAACCTCCTAAACGAAAATCATAAAAACAGAATTGTACACACACATGCTTGCAAACAAACATTAGTCGTGAAATCCCTAGCAACAAGTCACTGGATTTTTCTCTGTCAGCGCGCGTGTCAGCTGCCAAAGAATAGACTTAACTGAAGAAGTGCCCACATGCTGGCAGGGGCCGGCCCACTCTGGCCAGCCAGATACTGCTAGATTGTAATATTTAAGGTCGAATTTCGACCTGTGGTACACAGCTGTGCTGTGGCTCAGTCAGCAACCTCAGAACTCTGAAAAACAAAACAAAAAAACGAAAAAAAAAACCATGCACCTGTTTCACTGTGAATAGTGAATGTCAAGGAAGAAAGGAAAAACTGAAAGCTTGTTCTATCACAGGTATGAGCTGCTATGATACATGAAGAACATTCCATGAAGTATGTTTTAAAACCTTGTTATATCTGAGAGGCTTTAAAAGCCGATTTGTTTCAGGGCAACCGCGGTACAGACGTGGTCTCTGTGAGACTTCCACCTGACCCCAGTTTTAAGTGGTACGAATGTTGTGCATTTAATGTTAAAGGACAGTCTGCAATAATAAAGTAGCCAACATGGGTGCCCAGCAGTGCTGAGACCTGGCTGCTCTATTGTAAGCTTTGGAAACACAATTTATGCAACAAATGTCCAGATATGATTCTATTTATGGAAAAAGTTTATATGTGTTTTACAAATGGTTTTACCATCTTATATTAAAATGACCTTTTGACAGGTGTGCACTGTTTTGTCTCCAGTGGGCACATACCATGCGGATTTTATATGTACATCAGTAGTGTGAATCCACTGGCACAGTGTGTGTAAATGCCAGATGTGGTGAGATTTTATCTTATAAATGTGATCAGATAAAATAACTCCTGACAGAAACTGTAAGGAAACCAGCTGAATGTTTGACCTGATGACTGATGTTATATGGTTTATGTTAAATGTATATTCTTTTAATCAATGAATAAAGCATTAAAAAGTGGTCATTGAAATATATCTTATTGTTTATGAAGCATGAAAACTTTTAGTGTTAAATAAACTGCACTAATACTTATATTGTGTATAATCAATGTTAGCTCCTATTGCAATCTGAGCAGCAAAAATCAAATTTGAGAATATATCATAAAAAGTCTTAATCTGAAATGTTGGGAAGATTTTAATTTTTTAACTCACTTGGGCTAACTACAAGCTTAAAAGCCAATAGACTGGTTAGCACACAAAAAAGCTGCTTACTTCAGTATGCTAGTATTAGATAGTTCATAAACCCCTATATTGCTTTAGTTTGGCTTTGCAATCATCATTCTTGGTTGTTGAAGCAAACGGCTGTCATTTATGAAGAAAATGGCTCTTTTGCTTCTATCTTTCCTTCCTTAATCATTCCAGATACCGACTCTTCTAGGCACTGCCCCACCTTGGAACTGTCATCATACCTGCTGCGTCTTTGTTAGACACATCTAACTCCTCTGAATAAATCACCATGTTTATGTATTTAAAGTACCAAATAGTACTCAAAAATGTATAAAAAAGGAAAGTCTATTTATATATATGAGTAGCATACAAGTGAAGGTTGGTAGAGTAAAGCATGAAACTGGGAGGCTCGACATCTGTTTTCTACTCTAAGCTATGACTCTAATGCTACATGAGCACAGACTCTTCCTTAAGCTTTAGTTTCCTCATCTGTGAAATGAGGGATTGGACTTGGTTATCTAAAGCTCTGATTCTTCATCCAAAGTTTCAGCCCTTGTTAGCCAACAGCTTATAGACATGTACAAGATCCTCTTTGAACAATATTCTCAAAACATAGCTTACTATGAAATTTACATATCTAATTACTTTCACATTTCTCCCACCACCCTAGGAATTTAAAAAGTTAGGGATTCAGTGGAGCAGGGCTTGGAAAGGAAGTGTGCTTATGGTTAAACACATGAATTCAGAAACGAAATTGCTTGGGGCTTATAGCATGAATCAGACTGGATCTTTAGGAAGCCAATACACAAAATGGTGCATATGGAGTTAACACCCAAAAAGATGTGAAAACCCAGTGACTACACAACATTGTTCTATATCAGTGCTTCCCAACCTTTCATGTCCTGACACAATTAGAAAGTATTATACAGCAAACTGGTATAAACTGGAAGGAATTGGAGAAAAAAGTAATCTTTTGTTTATTCTTACTCGAGGATATGTTGTTTTGTTTTTTGTTTGTTTTTATTGATTTTAGAGAGAGGGAGGGAGAGATCGGTTGCTTCTCATAGGTATCCTGACAGATCCCGCAACCTGGGTATGTGCCAGTACCAGGAATCGAACCTGTGACCTTTCAGTATACAGGACAATGCTCCAAACAACTGAGCCACACCAGCCAGGGCTAATTTTCTTTATTATAAATAATATGAAGACTTAGAAATAATGAATTTGTATAGAACTTTCAAATAAAATTTTGTCAAATGTTTTAACTGATAACCTGTTAAAAACTTTTAATATTGCTACCAATGAGAAACCCCCTACAAATAAGTGATTTTTAAACCTTTTTCTTTTCACAGCCATTCAAAACTTAGGCAGCTGATTTATACTTAAATTTAACTGTTCTAGATATAATGGTAAATGGGACACCTGTAGTGCTTTCAACAATAAAGATAAATTGAAAAATAATAATAAAAATAAAATAAATAAAAATAAATGTAATGTAACTTTGATGTTGAGATTTGTTGTAATGTGAATTTATTTCAAATTCAAGTGACTTTTTTTCATTACAAGTATTTCAAAATCATGATGCTCTAATTTGTTTTCTCCCACACTTAACCATGCCACTAGCTTAGCTACCACAGAGAGCACACATCAGCCACCAACAGACAAGTGTCTGATTTATAAGACAATTACAGGCCTGTGGGGCACCCTCCTATCACCTCCAGCTTCCAGTCCCCTCATCTGGGGCTTCACACACCTGGGCTTTCCTATCTTCTCTTAGGATATCCAGAACATACTTCTCTCACAGCTTCATAAACCCCGCCCCCTTGTTCATGATGGAGTGGAGCACTCTGCCTCTGGCAGGGGAGTAGCAAGTGCACACTGTCAGACCCAGCTTCACTCCAGCTGCTCTCCAAGAAGAGACTGAAAGCATCACAAAGCAACCAGCTAGGGCTCAACCAGCCACCCCAGAATTCAGGTAGCCTGGAGGCATATCACTGGTAAAACCTAACTAACTTGGCTTGCTGGTTGTGGAAAGAAAATGGAAAGTATATTGTGAATAAATTTTCAAGACACTTAAATCCTTTCTGAAAGATTAAAAAATTGGCGTTGGCCCAGCCGGGCATGGCTCAGTGGTTGAACATCAACCGAGGACCCAGGAGATCAGGGTTCGATTCCAGGTCAGGGCACATGCCTGGGTTGTGGGCTGCAGCCAATCATTGACTCTCTCATCATTGATGTTTCTATTTCTCTCCCTCTCCCTCCCTTTCTCTGCAATCAATAAAGATATATTTAAAAAGAAAAAAAACACGTTGGCCGATGTGGTTCAGTTGGAGCATCATCTCATGCACCAGAAGGTCGAGGGTTTGTGGCCCAGTTAGAGCATAAGCCTAGGTTGTGAGGCACCTACGGAGAACAAATCAATGTCTCTCTCTCATCGATGTTTCTCTCATCAATTTTTTTAATTTAAAAAATGAAAGATTAAAAAGTTAAGCAGTGACAAGATGGCAGCATAGGTAACTGCGGTACCCGCCGCCTCCTACAACCACATCAAAATTACAACTAAAATACGGAAGCATCAGTCAGAACCTCCTGAAATCTAGCTGAACACAAGTCTTACAACCTGGGAGCCGAAGAAGCAACGAGACCTATAGGAGGGGTGGAGGCGAGGGCCGATCAGGGCTGAATCTTGGAAATGCGGCCCTGGGGCCCACACCCACTGCAGTGGTTTAANGCATCACTCAGAACCTCCTGAAATCTAGCTGAACACAAGTCTTACAACCTGGGAGCCGAAGAAGCAACGAGACCTATAGGAGGGGTGGAGGCGAGGGCCGATCAGGGCTGAATCTTGGAAATGCGGCCCTGGGGCCCACACCCACTGCAGTGGTTTAAAACCGGGAGGGATATCTTGGTGGCAGAGGTTTCCTAGAGGAGTGAGGGGTCCCAGCCCCACACCAGGCCCCCAGCCCTGGGCTCCAGGGCCAGGAAGAGAAGCCTTGACAACTTTGGGCTATAAAAACCAGCAAGGACTGTAGCTGAGGCTCGCAGAGGCTGTAGAAGTCCCAGGCTTTCCTCTGAAAGGGCGCACACACAGACTCAATTAGACATGCTCCCGCTGAGCACCAGCACTGGGCAGCAGCTTGAAAGGAAGCTGGGACATTTGGGAAGGAACTAATATTCCTGAAATCGAGTGAGAGGTGGAGGGGCGGCTTTCTCCCAGAAAGAAGAGCTGGCAGAGGCCCTTGCTCCTTTGGGGAGCCCTCCCTCCACAGAGCTAGCAGACAGGCACCATATTTGAATCTCCACCACGTGACTCACAACTTTGGCTCCGCCCCAGTGATTCCCGGAGGCCCCACCCCTCCCTACCTGTAAGCTCATCCAAGCCATTTCCAGTGCTGTTTCTATGCAAATGACCTCTATAGCTGCATGCTTAGGACTTTCCTAAAATCTCTCAAACAAGCAGCAGCGTGCCCCATACGGCTTGATAAGTAGCCCCAGGCCTGGCACTCATGGCAGCCTGCATTGGCTCATAGCTTGGCCTCTCCTGAACACCTCCTAGTCCAGCACAAGTAGCAGCCAACTATGGTTTGCTGTGTAGCTCATGCTGGGTGGCCCTGGGCAAGGCACTGGCAGAGGCTGACTTTTCACCTCCCAGGAGGCCCCAGAGATAGTGCACCCAGTGGTCAGCTTTGTCCATGCTGGATTACAACCCTACCACATCCACAAGTGACACACTCAAGGGGTGCACTTGGTGAACACCAAAGCTCCAATGAAGTAAATCCTGCTCCATAGGAGTGTCTCCAGCACAGCAGCTCTTTGGCTGTAGTTGCAGCTGGTCCTCACAGCCGACTGGACTGGGGGTCAGTTCCTCCCACTGACGCCAACAGCAACCAAGGCTCAACTACAACACGACAGTGCACACAGCCCACACAGGGGAGCACCTAGAAGGCCCAGCTCAGGTNAGGACACCTACTACACAAAGCCACTCTACAAATTCCAGGAGACATAGCAGCTCTACCTAATACATAGAAACAAACACCTGGAAGCAGCCAAAATGTGGAGGCAAAGAAACATGTCACAAAGGAAAGAACAGGAGAAATCTCCAGAAAAGGAACTAAATAAAATAGAACCAGGAAAGCTACTTGATACAGAGTTCAGAATTATGGTTATAAGGATGCTCAAGGATATTAGTAAGACTATTAAGAAAACAAGTGAGACCACCGATGACATAATAAAGTACCAATCAGAAATGAAGGCTACACGAACTGAAATGAAGAATAATTTACAGGGAATCAACAGTAGAGTAGAGGANAATGAAGAATAATTAACAAGGAATCAACAGTAGAGTAGAGGATGCTGAGAACCAAATCAGCAATCTGGAATATGAGGAAACAAAAAACACCCAACCAGAAGAGCAAAAAGAAAAAAGAATCCAGAAATATGAAGATATGTAAGGAGTCTCTGGGACAACTTCAAGCGGCCCAACATTCGTATTATTGGTATACCAGAAGGAAAAGAGAGCGAGCAGAAATTGAAAACCTATTTGAAAAAATAATTACAGAAAACTTCCCCTACCTGGGGAAAGAAATCGACTTACAAGTCCAGGAAGTGAAGAGTCTCCCAAACAAGAGGAACCCAAAGAGGCTCACAGCAAGATACATCATAATTAAAATGCCAAAGGTTAAAGACAAAGAGAGAATCTTAAAAGCAGCAAGAGAAAAGCAGTTAGTTACCTACAAGGGAGCACCCATATGACTGTCAGCTGATTTCTCAACAGAAACTTTGCAGGCCAGAAGGGAGTGGCAAG